AACTATACAAGCGCAATTAAAGACAAGGTCACGAGGAAAAGCGACAAAAACTAATCTTAAAGAAAAAAAGAAAATCCGCACTGAGCTTTTGCTGTGAGTAAAGAGTCTGCAACCATGCTTGCAGCTCTCTGAGGCTGCACTTAGTGTCAGCGGATGGCAGAAGTTAAGTAGGCTGCCACAGCAGGCTGTAGGAACACAGAACATTGGCCAACACTGTGGACACAGCAGACAGGACGTCCGTATGACTAACGCCGGCAAACAACGTTGGAAATCAGCAAAGTCTTCCCCCAGGGTGACCGCGCCGCTCTCTCCTGACATTTTTAGGCCAGTCACAGAGGGTTCACGAGATGCACTGTGATGTCTTGTTGATTCCGCTAACATTGAAATAATGCGCGGTCCGTGCACATATACGCCAACGAACTCACTCCTGCCAGAGCAGTGAGCTCATGCTGCATGGGGACATGGACATGGAGTGGATGTACTCGTGTACAAAGTACTGCAAGCTGTCCATTACAAAACTCCACCGTCCTCTCTCTCCACTGTTCTCACTCACATGCAAACAAAAACTAATACAAACCTCTTACATGCACCAGAAGTTGCAGTCCATGCCTGCATAGGGCTTTTTGAAAGCCTATGTGTTTTGTTTGAGGATACAAATATATTTTTTCTGCAGAATTGCTACAGAATTGAAATGCTAAAAGAGAAGAAACTTTGAGTTTGAGTATGGATACCAAAACAATGTCTTTTTCAAAGTATATCTGTTATCTAGTGAGTGGGTGTGGCAAATTAACTTGTAAAGCGCCTTTCTAGTGCTTTAACACTACATGTCATTCACCCATTCATGGCCATTCATACACAGAGGCTACCATGCAAGGTCTTGCTTTGATCAAGTGAGCCACACCGTCACTAACTGCACTCCCCGAGAAGAAATAATATTTCATTTTTGGAGAGAAAATAAAAAATCTGAAACAATTGCATGAGAGTCTATGGAGCAGAGGAGGATAGTTGTGGAGCTGGACGATGCTACGCTTTCATCGGCGAGACATAGCTAAGGGGTCAAATGGCGCCGCCTACTGGTAATCTCGATGAACCAACTCCTAATAATGGTAATAAACGGTGGAGGACGGAAAGAAACGTTCTCTTTGCATTTTCTCAAAATTTGGTTAAAATGTGTGATGACATTTGGATGGAAACCTGGCTTGTGTAAAGTACAGCAGAAGTCTATAAAACTGTCTCATTAGCATTAATAATGGTAAAATGCAGCGAAGGAATGATCATTTATACGAGATATGCTGCATGCATTTAATCCAATTACATCTTACTGTTTTCAACTAACTGCCGTTCTCCTGCAAACATCCAGGCAAAGAAACGCAGTGCCGAGTGGTGATGTAACTACAGCGAAGAGGCATGCAGACACAAACTGTTTCTTTTCTATAAGTGCTCGAGAAATAAGTGAAGTCAACATATTCCTCACTCTCATTCCAACACACACACACACACATACTGTACACAGACTATAGCTCAGGGTTACAGCAGCCCGCCCTCTCTTCCCCTTTCTCCATCTGCACCAAACTGCTTAATGATAATAAAGTGATAATGAGTTGTTTTTGAGTTGTTTTTAATAATTAATTTGCATATAAAAGCAGAGCCGTCTGCGTGGGCGGCTAAAACAGATCCTAGATCACAGTCTGGCTGCTGGCAATGCTTCAGAGGAAACAGAGAGATGGAGAGGGAGAGAGGCAGGAGGCGAGAAGGAGAAAGAAAAAGGACAAACTGAAGAAACAGACAGCATGAAGAGACCAAAAGAAACGCGGGACAACGAGAGGTAGAAACGGGGAGATGAAAGAAAGACGCGCCAGAGACAGGCGAGACATTTTGCGGTCGTGTAGCTCATTTGTTGTTCGTTTTTGAGAGTGTTTTCCTATTCCTGCATCTGCTCAGTTTGTGTGTATCGCCCTCTCAGTTTGTAGCCTTGCTGCGTGCGCCTGGATAGAAATGTCTGCCAGTCGGGTTTTCATGTTGTATTATATGATCCGAGTGTGTGTTTTGTAAAACTTTGATACCTTACTTCAGGGCGCAACCATTAGTTGTTTTAAAAATCAAACAATTGCAATTTGAAAGAGAATCACTAATTGTACTGAGTGATTACTTCAATCACAACAGCAGATATTCACATGAAGTCCCCGATCACACAGAGACGCGCCACTGGAAACACATTGCCAGCAAAACTTGCGTTTTCCCGCGGTACGGCGCCTGGCCTGCGCTTCTCTCTGCTCCGCACGTCAATTATTTACAGCGGTTTTCAGTCACGCATTAAAGTTAAAATAGGCGCTCCTTAAAGTCACACTTGGCCAAAAACCAAAACAAGGGGCGGGATTTACTACTTTACCACTTTTTTCCCGTTTGGATGCCGGTAATTGCGTTAGGAACAGCATATGGGACAATGGCAAGTGCACACCAAAGGTTGATATTAGCGATATGTAATCACGACTATATAATTCAAGGTTATTGTAACTATGGAATTAGTCAGCTTGAATCCTTTTATTTTATTTTAAATCACATTTTGATGCGCACATAAACAATCACGCTGGTCATTTTCAGGTAGTTAGTTGCAAGCTTGGTAGCTGTAAGATAAGTAAGTTAACCAAGTTTGTTTCCAAGTTGACTTTTCTGTAACTGTTTTGAAGAAGAAAAGAAAGAACCCGAGGAGGACATCAACAGGACATCCCAGCATACATCTTGACTTGACATAGAGGGAAAAGCACAGCTTGTTAGTATTGACATTAATGATGGTTCCGTTCTATTCAAGACTCCCAGCACAACTTGGTTACAAGGCTGCAATGCCACACTGCTCTACTGGGCAAGACCCGCCCCGAGCAGCATTCAAGCAGTAGGATTGGCCAGGCGTCTGAGCTAGCAGAGGTACGGGTCACCTGAACTGATCCTGACCCTAACTACTCGAGCTCAATGCCCAACCTTCACCAACGCTCTTTGGCTCAACCAGCTACGCATGGCGGGACTTTCCAAGCCGAGCAGTGGGATTCATAGTTACGCATCAATGGCGGAACGGTTAAAACGATGGCAGAGCCTGTAAGGATGAGGCTGGATCAAAATGTTTTTCACAGTAGGACTGGGTGGTAATTCAATACGCTAATTTATTGTCTTTCAAGGAAACCGTTATGAATTCATGCATTGAGAAATCACGACACACAATTATGTTGTTTAAATTGATAATAACCAGCTCATACAAAGTCAAATTTCTCAGAAAATGGGATTATTTTGCACTGAAGTTGTTAATTAAATGAGAAAAGTGCTTTTTGTTTGTTTAGTATTCAATTCCCACAAGAGTATTCAAAACCATGTGGTTATTTCATATAGACTATTCATTTATTAAATGACCAGAAAACATGCTATATGCTGATATATATCACTATCAAGATATTAAACGACCTATATTGGTATAGAAGATTCCGGCCTCATCGCTCAGCACCAGCTGGGAGCACAGCATCCATGATGCGCACTCGGATTTTGATTGGCGTGACAAAAACGCAAAGATAATTGCCAGAAAAATGTATGCGTTACACTCATGTGTTCTAAGATTTAGCAAAACATTGCAATAGATTATTGAACAGGAGTATGAAAAGTAGTTTGACATTAATATTAGGGTGTACATAATAGTCCCGTCTATTGTCCTTGTTCCTAGCAGTTATGTATATTCCCGTGTAAGTACATTAAGAGCAATGCCGTGAATTTCCTTGTATATACACACATTGAGTAATGAGGTGTTATTGGACAGACCAAGAAGAAGCAATTTCAAAAGCAATTGTTCGGCTCTACCTTACATACAGTACAGACGGCACTGCTGGGTGTAATTGCTAAGGAGTGTTATGTTTGTGAAAGTGGGAACGGGAGTGTGACTTTAGTGGGGGGCGCACTTTATCCGTTTCGTGCACATTTCGGTGAGCGTTCACACCGCCTTGCATAACTCGCAGTATAGAAGCAACCCACTCGCCAAGACACTCAGGAACACACAACTCACACAGATAATCTCTCTGGAATCAAGACAAGGAGACGTGCATCCACCCACCCCCCCACCCACCCCCACACACAC